AAAAAAAAGAATAGCAATGAGAATTACAAGAATGGTAAAACCATTTACCGTGGGGTCTGAAGTCGTGGGTTCGAATTCACCTCTCTACATTAGAAATGTAGGGGTGAATAGTGGCAGATTTAGAAAAAATTTATACCGGGGCACAATATTATATATAATAAAAAAACTAATAAAATTGTATTATCATAAAAAATATTTATATTTTACAACTGATTTCTACGAGTCTTCATTTTTTGAAATCTATCCATAACAGCTTTATTTATAACTGTCTGAAATATATCTTTTTCGATGAAACAAACCAAACAGTCACTCAAAAATTGATCACCAATCCGGTTGCGCAAAGCTGTCTTCACAAAATTCATCGATGAAAAACATCTCTCAACAGTCGCGGTAGCAACATGCAAAATCAATGTCAATTTCAAAAGTCTGTATACTAATGGATATGAAAGATGTTTCTTTGTTTCCACCATAAGACGAGCAAGATCTCCAAGATGAACCAAATTAGAAAATCTGTCATCTTCCATCAGATTGTCGAAGTAGATACTCAGTTCATATCGAAGAGATACTTGCTCCGAAAAACTGAAGTCATCTGGATAAAATCCAGCCAATTTCACCAGATTTGGTATGTTAAACTCACGAAATGAGTCAATAGGACTCAAAGCTGCCATACAGATGAGCAAATCTGAATTTATCTCGTCAAATCGATCATTGAATTCTCGAAACTGGAAATCCATAACAGTATACAAACAATCTATCTGATAGTGATGCAAGTTGCTTATGCTGGGTTTTTTCCTTAGCCTCCTTGAACCCACATAATCTTCTTCCATATTGATTATTTCAATATCGTGTTTCTCACAGAAAGAAGACACATTATCTAAAAGCAAATTTCAACCAAAGTCTCTTTGTTGTTGTAATTGTCTCTTTGTAGATTTTACCAACGAAATTGCATTCAAGATGTATTGATCTTTTCTCTGTAAAGTCATTGATAAATTATTTGTGAGTCCTAGAATGAGCAACATCAGTTGTAGATAGAACACAAAATCAAATGTGTGGAAATATTTGAGAAGACCATAGGCTTGACGTCTTTTAACTGCATCTGTACCGTCATTCTCAACATACTCTAACACCTCAATGACAGAAGAAAATAACTTAACCAATCGCAACAGTGTTTTGTAATGATATCCCCAACGAGTATTTCCAGGTCTCTGCAAAGTAATATCTTGATTCAACCCAGTTCCTGTACTAATCTCGCCATTATTAATTTCTTCGTTCACTTTTATTCTATGGCTTTCTTGAATCATGTCTTTTCTTTTGCAAAAACCTCTAACCACATCAACAAAAGTGAAATCATATCGAAAAAATTTCTAACATCAAAGAGTTCATTTGCAACTGCTAACAACCAATTGAAGTCGGTGAGCGAAACAATGGACATAATATGCTGCTCTATTTTCTCTTGAAATCAACGATCTCAATCCATTAAATTCACCTTTCGTATTGCTTGCTCCATCGTACCATTGTCCTCTAACTTGTTTTAAGCTCAATCTATATTTAGCAAACAAGGAATCAATAGCAGACTTCAGAGATAAAGCAGATGTTTCTTTCACATGAATAAGCTCAATGAATCTCTCTTTCACTATTCCGTTCTTATCAACAAAACGAAAAACAACTGTCATCTGCTCCTTATCAGAAACATCACTAGACTCATCCACTAGCAATCCAAATACATCATGACCAATCTCCTGAATTATATCTTGGGTTATTTGTTCTGCAAAACATTGTGCAATATCTTTCTGTATTGTTGGAGAAACCATCTGACTATTTCCCGGAGCATTCTTCAAAATAACCTTACTCACAATATCATTTTGTTCTGCAGTATACTTCACAAGTTTCAAAAAAATTTCTTTATTATCAGAATTTTCTGACTCATCGTGACCTCGAAACGGCAGCCCTTGTTTCAACAAAAATCTAGAAGAACTAATCGAGGCATTCAACCGAATACGATACTCGTTTCTCATAATATCACTTTGCTTCTGCATAGCATGCACGATAGATTGATCTTGCCTCATCAAATCATCACATTTCTTTCGTGCATTATTATGAAAACTATTAACATCACCCACATGAGCGCTCAATCTCTCGGTCTTATTCCAACTAGAAAATTCATCTGTCACAAAAGCATCATTCCCAATTTGCTCTCTAAACAAGTAACAGCACAAACAAAATGCTCCATCTTTCTTTATACTATACTCTAACCAATCAGCGTATTGGTCAAACCAGACTGGATTAAATCGTCTCAATTTATTCCCTATCATCTTCTTTGGAAAGTCATGACCACGTGGTTGACAAGGTCCCCTAATCAAATATTTGCGTCGTATCTCATCTCTTTGATTAGGATGATACTCTAATATTTTTTTTCTATCAGCCGGATCCGAAGGCAAATCATGTAAATCAATTTGCTCAGGTATTGAGGGTCTAACCTGAGAATTTGATGTATTGTCGATTGAAGCTTTACCTCTATCTTGAGACATCGATGCAAAATTTCTCTTGAGAAATTTATCCATTGATTTCTCTGTTAAATCAAAAATAAAATTGAATAAATATATATAACAAAAAATTAATTTACAAATATGATTAAAACATAGAAATCGATGAACAAATAAAAAATCAAAAATTACTTCAAAAAAATTATAAGCCATATCATATACAAATATAGGAATATTGATTTGAATTGTTTGTCTTCACCATCAATTCTGTCTCTCTCTTTGCAAATACCGTAATCTTTTTCGATTAAGAAAAATTTCGCATGATTATGGACATCAATTTGTTCGTCTAACCTAGGGATGCGATTTTGGTTTTGGTGAACCGGACAAACTAAAATACAAAACTCGGTTGAACAAATTCGGAACCGGTTTAGAATAATTTGCAGTATACGGGTTTTAAGTATTACGTGGCTCAAGCGGTTAACCCATAAAATGAAAACGGTACATGATGCATATTTTCACTTGGACATGTCCATCATTTTGGTAGAAATGGGCCTACTTGGGATAAAATATCAAATTGGGCATACCAAGGTTATGTCTAAAAGCCCATTTATATGGGCTCTAATTAATTTTAGATGTGGGCCATGAATAATCACAGTGGCAATCTGAAATTTTAATATTTTGGAATTTGGAAATTAACGATTTTTTTCCTGCGAATTAAGTTTCAAACATTGGTTCTACCTTGAAAATATTTTTTAAAAAAATTAGAAAATATATAAATATAAAAATATTGAAAAAATATGAATAGGAACTAAAAAGATAAGAAAATTATTTACTTGTGTGATAAAAAATTAAAAAAAATCTAGGAAAACAGGTAGGTTGATATTTTATATGTTTTTTTAATTGTGCACATGTTGAATTTGAGCCACCAAGAAATTGATCAAGACAATTTTTACCCCAGAAGACGAAATCAGCTTTTTAATATTTTATTTTAAATGATCTTTTTATAAATTTGTATAAATGAAAAAACACTGGAGTTTTCGTAATATGAACGAAAATATAAATAGAGATATATAAATATAGAATTTGGTATTATAAATAAAATTTTAGATCATGTGTATTCAAATATATAGATGAATTGATTAGCAGAGCGTATGGTTGGAGACGTTGATAAGTTGAATTCTACACACTTTAATGGATAATTCGTGGATGCTACAAACTTTGGAATAATATTTTTATAATAAGAAAACAATAGAAAAATAAAATAAAATAAAATAAAATTGGGCAGCTGAGGGAGCTACCAGCCTACCAACTTCACACAATATTTTCCACGTGAGAAGGGGTATTACCGTCATTCAATATTTAAAAAAATGTTTTCTCACTTTTATCTTTTTAAAAAGGGTCAATCTTCTCAATCGGGAGTCAAGATTTGGTCCATTTTAACATATGGTCAAAACTGATAGGCTCTGGTTTAATATTTTTTTGTAGAATAAATATGCAGATCAATTAGATATTTTGATCAATAACAATCTGATTATCCACAATGTAAGAATTATATTCTGATCGATTAAATAAAATAATATGATATATTTATACAATCAACCAAAAATATTTATATCACACCAAAAAGCTACAACTTTATTCTAATTAATCATTATTATTATTTACCATTTTACAAAATAAAATGATGGTGTTACGAATTCAGAACAAAAGCGTCCAGGTTCATCCACATGAACAGTCATTCATTTCTATAAAAGCAGAACAATCACGGTACGCTCCCTAGCGAAATCGAATCGAAAACACAAAAGTTTTCGATATCATATTCACTCGAAGACGAACTTCCATTAGAGGATCTTGGAGCAGCCAGAGAAGGGTCCCTTTTCGCATTCCACTCTGTTCCTTGTATCCTCTCAAAGAGATCCTTCAATGGCTTCCATGGCTGCCGTCTTCAGCAAAACCCCTTTCCTCTCTCAGCCTCTCCACAGCAAAACCCACGTCTCCGATTTCTCGGCCTCCGTCTCCTTTCCGGCGGCGTCGAGCCGCCGCAGCCTCCGCCGTGCCGGCC